TTAAAGTGCTAGAAAGTAAAAAAAAAAAAAAAAAAAAAAAAAAAAAACAACCTAAGGAGGTTAACTACAACCACAGAAACACAGAGAATAAATCTCAGACCATTAAAATCAAAAGAAGGGAAATACACACACACACACACACACACACACACACACACACACACACACGTTGTGAGATATTTATTTACACTGTATGAAGGTGTATTATTGTAATTGGTTTAATAAAAAGGTGAATGGCCAATAAACAGCTAGGCAGGAGAGGTTAGGTGGGACTTCCTGGCAGACACAGAAACTCACAGGGATGAATCTAGGCTCCCATGAGATGATAGCTAGACACCAAGAAAGTCAGACATACAGAATGGAGGAGAGATAAAAAAACCCATGAAGGAAGATTAAGGTTAGTTTAGATTAAGGTTAATTTAAGTTATGAGAACTAGTTTGGAACAAGCCTAAGCTAAAGGCATAGCTTTCATAATTAATAATAAGTCTCCCTGTCATTATTTGGGGGCTGGCAGTCCAAAGAAAGTCAGACAAGAAAATCCTACTTCACACACACACACACACACACACACACACACACACACACACACACACACCAATAACAACAAATAATTTTCAAAAATTTGGAAAGATTCAAAAATTGCTGGTCACTGTTATCTCTTAACATCAGTGGTCTCAATTCCCCCATAAAAAGACACAGGCTACTAAAATCAGGAACGAGGCAAGGCTGTCCACTCTCCCCATACTTATTCAATATAGTACTTGAAGTTCTAGCCAGAGCAATAAGACAACATATGGAGTTAAGGGGATATAAATTGGAAAGGAAGAAGTCAAGCTTTCCCTATTTGCAGATGACATGATAGTATACTTGAGTGACCCCAAAGATTCAACCAAGGAACTGATACAGCTTATAAACACCTTCAGCAATATAGCAGGATACAAGATCAACTCAAAAAAATCAGTAGCCCTCCTATATACAATTGACAAAGAGGCTGGGAAGGAAATCAGAGACACATCACCCTTTACAATAGCCACAAATGACATAAAATACCTTGGGGTAACACTAACCAAGCAAGTGAAGGACCTATATGACAAGAACTTTAAGTCCCTGAAAAAAGAAATTGAAGAAGATCTCAGAAAATGGAAAGATCTCCCATGCTCATGGATAGGCAGGACTAACATAGTAAAAATGGCAATCTTACCAAAAGCAATCTACAGTTTCAATGCAATCCCCATCAAAATACCAACACAATTCTTCACAGACCTGGAAAGAATAATACTCAATTTTATATGGAAAAACAAAAAACCCAGGATAGCCAAAAGAATCCTGTACAATAACACAACCTCTGGAGGCATCACAATCCCTGACTTCAAGCTCTACTATAGAGCTACAGTAATAAAAACAGCTTGGTACTGGCGTAAAAACCGACATGTGGACCAATGGAGTCGAATTGAAGACCCTGATATTAATCCACACACCTATGAAGTATAATTTTTGACAAAGAAGCCAAAAGTGTACAATGGAAAAAAGAAAGCATCTTCAACAAATGGGGCTGGCATAACTGGATATCAACATGTAGAAGTCTGCAAATAGATCCATATCTATCACCGTGCACAAAACTTAAGTCCAAGTGGATCAAAGACCTTAACATAAATCCAGCTACTCTGAACCTGCTAGAAGAGAAAGTAGGAAGTAGTCTTGAATGCATTGGCATAGGAGACCACTTCCTAAATAGAACACCAGTAACACAGACTCTGAGAGAAACAATCAATCAATGGGACCTCTTGAAACTGAGAAGGTTTGTAGAGCAAAGGATATGGTCAACAAGGCAAAGCGACAGCCTACAGAATGGGAAAAGGTCTTCACCAACCCCACATCTGACAGAGGACTGATATCCAGAATATATAAGGAACTCAAGAAATTAGACATCAAAATGCCCAACAGTCCAATTAAGAAATGGGCTATAAAACTAAACAGAGAATTCTCAACAGAGGAAACTCAAATGGCTGAAAGGCATTTAAGGAATTGCTCAACATCCCTAATTATCAGGGAAATGCAAATCAAAACAACTCTGAGATACCACCTTACGCCTGTCAGAATGGCTAAGATCAAAAACATTGAAGACACCTTATGCTGGAGAGGATGTGGAGCTAGGGGAACTCTCCTCCACTGCTGGTGGGAATGCAAGCTTGTACAACCACTTTGGAAATCAATGTGGCACTTTCTTAGAAAATTGGGAATCAATCTCCCCCAAGATCCAGCTATACCACTCTTGGGCATGTACCCAAGGAATGCTCAATCATACCACAAGGGCACTTGCTCAGCTATGTTCATATCAGCATTGTTTGTAATAGCCAGAACCTGGAAACAACCCAGATGCCCTTCAACTGAAGAATGGATAAATAAAATGTGGTACATATACACAATGGAATACTACTCAGCAGAGAAAAACAATGACACAATGAGGTTTGCAGGTAAATGGATGGATCTAGAAAACTCATCCTGACTGAGGTAACCCAGACTCAGAAAGACAAACATGGTATGTACTCACTCATAGGAGGATACTAGATGTGGAACAAGGATGACTGGACTGCTACTCACATCACCAGGGAGGCTACCTGGAAAACAGGACCCCAAGAAAGACACGAGGATCGCCCAATGACGGAGAAATGGAAGAGATCTACATGAACAGCTTGGACGTGAGTGAGGGTAATGAAGGGCGAGGGTCGAGCGAAAGAGAGCTTAGGGGAGCAGGAGATCCCAGCTGGATCAACAACAGAGAGGGAGAACAAGGAATAGGAGACCATGGTAAATGAAGACCACATGAGAATAGGAAGAAGCAAAGTGCTAGAGAGGCCCACAGAAATCCACAAAGTTACCCCCACAATAGAGTGCTGACAATGGTCGAGAGACAGCCCGAACTTACCTACTCTGGTGATAGGATGGCCAAACACCCTAATTGTCATGCTAGAAACCCCATCCAATGACTGAGGGAACTGGATGCAGAGATCCATGGCTAGGGTGGAGCTCTGGGAGTCCAATTAGCAAGAAAGAGGAGGGTTTATATGAGTGAGAATTGTTGAGACCAAGGTTGGATAAAGCACAGGGACAAAGAGCCAAATGAATGGAAACACATGAACTATGAACCATTGGCTGAGGAGCCCCCAACTGGATCAGGCCCTCTGAATAGGTGAGACAGTTGATTGGCTTGATCTGTTTGGGAGACATCCAGGCAGTGAGACTGGGTCCTGTGCTCAGTGCATGAGTTGGCTGTTTGAAACATGGGGCTTATGCAGGGACACTTTGCTCAGCCTGGGAGGAGTGTACTGGACCTGCCTGGACTGAGTCTACCAGGTTGATTTCAATCCTCGGAGGAGGCTTTGCCCTGGAGGAAGTCGGAATGCGGGTGGACTGGGGGGAAGGGCAGGGGATCGGGAGGGGGGAGAACAAGGGAATCCGTGGTTGATATGTAGAACTAAATTATATTGTCAAATAAAAAAAAAAGACACAGGCTAACAAAATGGATTCAAAAACATGATCCATCTTTCTGTTGCATTCAAGGAACACAACTAACATCAGAGATAAACAATACCACAGGATAAAGCATTGAAAAAAATATTCTAAGGAAATGGACCTAAGAAGCAAGTTAGTTTAGCTATTTTGATATCTAACAAAATAGACTTCAAACCAAAACTAATCAAATGATATAGAGAAGGACCATATATACTCATCAAAGGAAAAAATCTACCAAGATGACATTTAAATCCTTAACATTCATATCCCCAAAACAAGAGCAACCAAGTTGGTGAAAGAAACACTACTACAGCTTAAATCGCATATTGACACTCACACACTGATACTAGGAGACTTGAATACCTCACTCTCACCAATAGACAAATCACCCAGATTAAAATTAAACAGAGATATGCTGAAGCTAACAGACATTATAAACCAAATGAACCTAACAGATATTTACAGAACACTTCACCCAAATACAAAAGAATATACCCTCTGCTCAGAAACCTTGGAACTTTCTCCAAAATTGACCACATATTCAGACACAAAGCAAGTCTCAACAGATAAAGAAATTTCAAAGAACATTCTTCATTCTATCAGACCACTACAGATTAAGGCTGGGTATAAAAAACAACATCAACAACAGAAAACTTACAAACTTATGGAAACTGAACTGTTCTCTACTGGATGATGAATGGGTCAAGACAGAAATTAAGAAATTATACACTTTCTAGAAGTGAATAAAAATTAATACACAACACACCCAAACATATGGGAACTGTTCTAAAAGGTAAGTTCATAGCACCAAGAACCTACATTTTTAAAAAGGGGGTTTTGAGAAATCTCATACTAACATCTTAACAGCACACCTAAAAGCCCTAAAACAAAAAGAAGAAATCACAACCAAAAGGAATAGACAGCAAGAAATAATCAACTCAGGTCTGAAATCAATAAAATAGAAAGAACTATAATAAGCAATAGAAAAAAATCAATCAAACAAGGAGTTGGTTCTTTCAAAAATCAGTAAGATTGACAAACTCCTACCCAAATTACATAAAAAGTAGAGAGAGACTATTCTAATTTTAAAAATTAGAAATCAGAAAAGGGCATAACAACAGAAACCAAGTAAATACAGAGAATCATAAGGACATATTTTAAAAACCTGTACTCCACCAAACTGGAAAAATCTAAATAGACTTATAACTCCAAATGAAATAGCAGAAGTCTTTAAAAGTCTCCCAACCAAAAATTTCCCAGAGACAGATTGTTTTAGCACAGAATTCTATCAGACTCTCAAAGAAGAGTTAACACTAATACTCCTCAAATTATTCCATAAAAAAGAAGTAGAGAGAACATTGCCCAATTCATTTTAAGAGGCCACAGTTACCCTGACACCCAAACCACATAAAGACTCAACAAAGAAAGAATTATAGGATAATTTCCCTTATGAACATACATGTAAATATTTCAATAAAATACTTACACACCGAATCCAAGGACACATCAAAAAGATCATCCACCATGATCAAGTAGGCTTCATCCCAGAGATACAGGGTTAATTCAACTTACATAAATCATTAATTGTAATCCACCATATAAAGAATCTGAAAGACAAAAATCACATGATCATTTCATTAGATACAAAAGAAAATGCTTGGACAAAAATATAACTTCCCTTTATCATAAAAGTACTGGAGAGATTAGGGATGCAAAGGAAATACCTCAGCAAGCCAATATGGAAAACAAGCCTATAGCCAATATCAAATTCAATGGAGAGAAACTCAAAGCAATTCCACTAAAATCAGGAACAAGACAAGGTATCCACTCCCTCCATACTTACTCAATATAGTATTTGAAGTCTTATTAGAGCAATAAGAAAACTGAAGGTAACCAAGGGGATATAAATTGGAATGGAAGAAGTCATACTATCAATATTTGCAGATGACATGATTGCATATACAAAAGATCCAAAATATAGGAAACTCCTATAGGTGATAAACTCCTTAAGCAAAATAGATGAATACAAAAGTAACTCAAAAAATCAGTAACCTTCCTATAAACAAATGGCAAATGAATTGAGAAAGACATCATGGAATCCACACTTTTTATAATACCCTTAAATAATATAAAGTGTCTTGGAGTAACCTTAGCTAAGCAAGAGAAAGAACTGTATGATAAAATCTTCAACTCATTGGAAATTGAAATTGAAAAGATATCAGAAAATGGAAAGATCTCCTATACTCATTGTTCAGTAAGAATAACATAGCAAAAACTGCCATACTACCATTAGCAATCTACAGATTCAATGAAATCCCCATCAAAATTCCAATATTATCCTTCAGAGATCTTGAAAGGACAAATTCAGCTTCATATGCAAACACAAAAAACCTATAATAGCTAAAACAATCCTGAATAATAAAATAACTGTTAGAGGTATCACTATTCCTGATTACAAGATGTAATACAAAGCTGCAATAATAACAGCATGGTATTTGCACAAAAACAAACATATTGATCAATGGAATTGAATTGAAGACACTGATAAAAATCTACACAACTATGGATAGCTAATTTTTGCAAAAGAATTCAAGAACACACACTAGAAAAAAAAGACAGGATCTTTAAAAAATGTTGCTGGTCAAACTGAATGGCTGCATGTAGAAGAATCCAAATAGAGTTGTAGTTTTAATGCTGCACAAAACGCAACTTCAAGTGGATCAAAGACCTCAACATAAAACCAGATACACCAAACCTAATAGAAGAGGAAGTGGAGAATAGCCTTGAACTCATTAGCACAGAAAAAGTCTTTCTGAACAGAATGCCTTTAGCACAGGCACTAAGATCAACTATTAATAAACAGAACCTTACGAAACTGAAAAGCTTCTGCATGGCAAAGGACACCATTCAGAAAAATCGGCAGCCTACAGAATGGGAAGAGATGTTTACCAACTCCATATCCAATAGAGGACTAATTCCCAAAATATATAAAGCCCAATGAGTTAGGGTTAAAAATCAAATACTATTGGTTTAAAAAAAGAAAAGAAAATTAGTAAGAAAATGGCTCCTAATAACATTCTGCTATACTCATAGATCAGTGCCTTGCTTAGCCATCATCAGATAAGCTTTTTGCTGCAGCAGATGGGAACAAATACAGTACTCACAGCCCAACATTATGCAGAGTTATAAACCTGGGAACACTCAGTTCTAAATGGATGTCTCCATCAACTCCCTCCCATCAGAATTCAGGGAATTCTGAGGAAGGGGTGGCAGAAAGAGTATATGAAGAAGAGTGGATGGAATACACCAAGAATACAGGGCCCTCTAAATCAACATGAGCAAATCTCATATGAACTCACATGGACTGAAGCAGCATGCACAGGGCCTGTATGGGGTCTGCAACAGGTCCTGTGTGCATATATCATGACTTTCAGTTTAGTGTTTTTATAGATGCTTGTGTGTGAATGACTCAGTTCTTGTGCCTTCTCTTAGGCTCTCTTCTGTTTGATTGTCTTGTCCAACTCTGCTTTGATAGTTTTTGTTTTATCTTATTTTATTTTGTTTTTATCTCTTAGAAGCATGTTCTTTTCTAATCAGAGACAGAAAGGGAGTGGATCCAGATGGGAGGGGAGGTGGGATGAACTGGGTGTAGTAGAGGGAGGGAAAACTGTAATCCTACGTGAGAAAAGAATATTTCCAATACAAGGAAAATAATTAAAAAACAATATTTTTCAAAGTTATTTCAATAAAATACAAATTGGTTGCAAAGCTACTTAGTCATTGAAAAGTGACTGAAAGGGATCTAGCTTTCTCAAACTCTCACCACCAATACCGCCGAACAGATGCCAACGTCAAATTTTCAGGCTCGGGAGCTTATAAAAGCATGACCAAATACATGTCCCCTTTTTAAAAAGTCTCCTGTATTATTTATAGTAATAAAAAAAGGAAAAACCATAAGACCTCTGCCATGGTACTGTTAAGTAAACAGCTGCCTGATCTCCAGAGATAAGGTAGCAGTTGTGGGGCTTCTCTCAACAAGTTAGCCACTCCCAAATGTCATGTTTCTATGAACTATGATTATTCTTGCATCTACTTCCCTGATTCCTCTCTGGTAACTGAAAACATACCTTGCTGAAATAGTTTTTAGCATAGCTCAATTAATTTGCACACAGTCTATAGCAGTACTCTTAAGATCATTCATGTGATTTGAATCTATTAATTTCATTGTTCATCAACCACTGAAAAATAAGGCCTATTTGTTTACATGTTGCAAACCTATATACATACACACACACACACACACACACACACACACACACACACACACACACACACTATACAATATTGTGTACTAGTTCACTCTCACCTTCTCAATAGCATTATTCCAGCCTCCCTTCTCTTTCTCCTGTACTATCAGATGTTACTCTTTTACTCAATACCCATCATCATGGAAATGTGCTGTTCTTTCTCTAACCACCATTTGTGGAACTGTGAGAGAGGCTCTAAGGAAAAGGCAGAGAGCCTTTGTCCTCAGAAGCGTTGTGTTCCCTGGAGTGTTCTTGGACATGATTTCATGTCTCCTGTGTTAAACACTTAACATTCAATCTATAAGACACGTTTATTCCTGTTGGATGTCAGAATACAGCTATAGAACCAATCTGGTCAGAGTGCCCTGAATCTGGATACGGCCTTCTGCCTTGTTTTCCAGCTTTCCCAGATAATCTATAGTATGTGCCAAGCAACTGTGTTTAAATTGGTCTGTGCTGAGAAAGCTCTGGGGAAGGGTTGCCCTGTTAATATTTAGTATGTGCTTTCTGACATTTATTTACATGTTTTTCTAACTCAAACAACCTTCCTTAGGTCATTTATTGCTTTCTTTGTTACATCCGTATATAAAGTCCACTGAAACTGAAGTAAGGTTGTCCCACAGCATTAGACTGTAGTCTGCCCCAGTCTTTCAGGTCCCCAGACCCCAGGTCCAGCAGACAAGATTTGCTCAGGTGAGCTGACATTCTCCCTCTTCCCACCATAGCCCACTAACATTTAGTCTTAGAATAGTTGTCAAAACAATCTCCAAAATGAAATCAAAGCGAATAGGCTTTAGCAATAATTAACTTGTTTTCTCCTACTTTTCTTTCAAAAAGAAAAGCCACTGGACCTGCACAAGTTCAAACCAGACAAAATCCAGGCACTGAGAAGGAGAAGTAGACACAGAGACCCACCCCTTAACTAAGAAGCTATTTGCAATTGATATTTTGCTAGGAAAGGGAAAATCAGTTTTCTGTAATTGGGCATATCATCCACATGCCCAGGAGTAGTTAGCCACAACAAAACAGACTACATTGTTTGTTTGTGTGTGTGTGTGTGTGTGTGTGTGTGTGTGTGCACTATTTGTTTTGCATTGGTATTTTTTGTCTTACTGAGTTTTTAGTTTGTTTGCTTGCTTTTCATTTTGATCTTTTTTTTTGTTTTTCTGATTTTTGTGGGGGAGGGAGAAAGAACATAAGGTCGGGTGGGTTGACAGGTAAGAAAGATCTGGCAGGAGATGGGATAAGAAAATAATATGATCAAAATATATCATCTATAAAATTGTTTTAAATAAAAAATTTAAGGTAAATTATTTAAAAAAAGACTTCTATCTTATTACCTACATGTTTGTGAGCAAAATAGTTCTCATCTCTGAGCTGCACCTTCTTCTATGACATGAAGACAATAAATCAGCTCATAGCTATTGGAAAGAGTGAAGAGGTTCATAAGTTAACATCTACAGCAATACATAGATATAATATACATCAATGAATGGCAACGTTCCAATGCCTTCAGAGATTTCACTCTGTTCTGTAACAAAGGTGCCATCTCTACATGGTTCAGTGAATAAAAAGCTAGTAGCTAAGGACTAGAAAATAAAATCCTGAGAAATGTCCATAGAAGTTGGAAACAGAAATATTTTGGTTCATGATTCTTCTCTTGCTATTCCTTAGCAACTCTGAAATTTCCTTCTATCCATAATGCCATCTCTTTTGTTTTCATAAATTCATATTCTCTTTCCTCATCTCTTTCCCTGACCCTTAATACAATACCTTGACACTTTCATGATGATTCTGTCCCTCTGTCCTCACTAACCCACTGGCAAAGAATACATTTATGTTTATGTATTTGTTTATTCAATTACACACATGGCCATTTCCTGTTCATCATTGTGCCTCATCTATAAAACTCCATTAATCCTACATATCTAAAGTCTTAGGAAAGGTTTCTTAGTAGCAAGGGACTACTTTTCTTACCTCTTCATTTGCATGATTGTTGGGAACCATGTAAATACAGTGATTTTCTGATATCTAACAGATGATATCAAATAAACTTCCATTAAGCCCAAATTTTAAGACTATGCAGTTCTAGCAATAATATTTGTTCATGTTTTCTATATTCACAAAATTTTACTTTCACAAGCTACACTTATTGGTGCTTTGTAATGTTAATAAAACATATACTTAAAATATCTAGAGGGAAAAGACATAAAAATCAAAGTGAGACACTAAATTGTGCCGTTAAAAATAATCAATATTCTCCTATGCGATATTTCATTCTCTCATGCTTTCTCCTCCTC